ACAGATCCCAGAAATGGGCTGCTTTAATTTGTCTGATGGTTCAAGTACAGTTGGACAATATCCATCATATCATAGATAAATTTTCACAAATGCCTAGGGTGCCTAAATGGTTTTCTTGGCTTCACTGGAGATGGCTGGTAATTATAGATTTGCTTTGTTTATGTCACCGTATTCCTATTATGTTAATATGTGTGTGCAAATTAGTTAGTAGTTTAAAACCTATACATACTTAAGGTACTATACAAGAAGATATGTCAAAGAAATAATCAATCCTCCCAAGTTTCCTTCATATGCTACATCTATAGCTTTTCTTCTTCCTTCCTAATTACAACCCTTAAATAGAATTCGTGCCTCATATCGAATTTACCGAGTATCATAATTCCTCCAGGTGGTAAAGATACCTCGAGACAAGTGCTGGGCATAGAAGCCACAGGGCATAAATCTGCAAAGAAGTAAAAAGCTAACCTTTGCAAACAATATGGCTTCTCTCTCACTTACCAACTTTACATTTCCCTGTATGGCCCCGGAAGATGACTGGTTAGCCAGAGACGGGTAAGATTCCTCAAGGGAGGAACAACCTAAGACAGGCACAGTCGCAGGGGGGCCATCAGGTGAGAATTTGGGGATCAACAGAGGTGAGGCTCAGAACCTCACCCCCCCTGCTTTGAGAGAAATCTTCTGCATCCGTGGATGTCTTGCTGCCCTTGTCTAGCCTGGATTAATACTTAGTCCATAGGCACACACCTGATCATCTGATCATCTACATTTGCCCTCTTACAGCACTAAACTATGTTTTCTACCTTTATCTTGCATCTACCTACCACTTCAGCATTTTATTAAAAATAAAAATAATAATAATAATAAAGGGAGAAATGTGGGATCAACATATAAATCAAGTACAAAAATCAAACAAATATTCATATTTGACCTGATTGTTTATAGGTCATAATGCGTGATCAAAACCGAAAGTTTCTGTGATGAATGCCCTTGTACTGTTCACCATGTAAGAATTTATTCACTATGTAAGAATTCGTTCACCATGTAAGAACTTGTTCGTTATGCTTCAGAAGATTGGAGACTGACGAGAATTGGACTTGAGATGGATTAATGATTGTACATTGAGCATTGACCCCCCTATACTGAATTTTATTGTTGTTAACAACCATTTGATCAATAAATATGAGAGATGCCCTCTCAAAAACAAAAACAAAAACAAAAACTAAAAATAGGAACACCATACAATCCAGTAATTCCACTTCTAGAAATTTACTTGAAGAAAATAAAATCACTAATTTGAAAAGATATATGCACTCCTGTGTTTACTGAAGCATTAGTTACAATAGCCAAGATATGGGAACAACCTAAGTGCCCATCAATAGAATGGATAAAGAAGATGTAGTATGTATATACAATGGAATATTACTCAGCCATAAAAAGAACTAAATGTTGCCATTTATGACAACATGGATGGACCTAGAGGGTATTGTGCTAAATGAAATAAGAGAAATATGATTTCACTTATATGTGGAATCTAAAAAACAAAACAAACAGAAGAGAAATAGACTTCTACAGAGAACAGATTGATGGTTGCCATGGGATAGGGGTGGGAAGATAGGCAAAATAGGTAAAGGGGATAAGGAAGTACAAAATTCCAATTATAAATTTCAGCATAGGAAAAAAATGAACAACTACAAAAAGATAACAAGCCTGAATGAGTATGATCCCAGTAACAAAGCTCCAAAACAAATAAAGGCAATAAAGCTGGCAGAGCTGAAGAGAAGTTCTAATGATTTAACAGTGTCCACCCTTGAGTATGCCTTTTCCCTTTTTTGTGATATTCCTAAGAAGCTAATTCCTGAGGGTAAGCATCATGTATTTTCATTCTTATAGCTTCAGAAGTGACTTGAATCATGTTAGAAGAGAGAAAGATTTTAAAACATTTGAAATAATTTTGGAGGGAAGTTTGAGTGTATGTTAAAAATGTTTTTTAAATGTTCATACTCTAATTTATTCCTTCAGAGTCTAGGACTCCATCCAAAGGAATCCATCCAAAAAAGCAGATTAACTTTTATGATTAAAAAGTTCACTGAACTGTTATATGTGACCATGAAAAATTGGGAGTTGCCTAAAAGTTCAACTAGAGGATTGGATGTGTGAACTCTGTAGCAATGTTCAGTGGACTATCATGTGAGATTAGAGAAAATGATTATAAGATAATGTTAGAATTTTTTAAAGAAGGATACAAAATTACAGAGAAAAATCTAGGAAGAAATAAAACAATGTTAACAATGTTTTTAGATGGAGAAGAGATACGAGTTACTCTTATAGTTTCATTCTTTATATTTTCTGTACTTTCCCCAATATTGTACATCAATAGTTATTGGTTTGATAATTTTAAAAAATCTAATAAGTGTTGTTGGGAAAAATGAAAATATCTGAACAGGCTGAATCTAACATGATTAAATTTAACAAGCCTTCATATAAAGCTCCGAATTTTTGTTTGGAAAGCAATTGCATGGATAATGTTTTGACTTAGCAGAAGCAAAGTCAAGCATTTTTGTTTATTTTTAACCTCAAATAAGTTAACTGAACAGTAAAGATGCTTAGAATAAGCACTCATTGATTTCATCAGGTGAAACATGGTATGTATCAAAACGGAGGGGATTGATAGATTATCTCTGATCTGTTCTTTCCAGCCCAGAGCTGGAATATTGGTCCAAGTCAGGCCCCATAGTACAGAGGAATCTGGATTTTGGTGTGTGTCCAGAGGTAGTGACCAGTATGAGGAAAGACCTAGCAATTTTGGTGTGTTAAATAGCTGAGGGGCTGGAAGGAGTTGCTGAGAAGGGGAGGTGTAGGTAGATGGAAAGCAGGATCAGAGTATTTAGGCTTTTTAAGGGCTCAAGGCAGAGGAGTTGGCAATGTTCTGTGTGACCCTTGAGAGCAGAACTGGAACTACAGGGAAAGCTACAAAAGGCAGATTGAGCTCCGTGTAAGGAAAAAACCGCCCAAGGTGAAGTGTGCCTTGCAAGGAACGAGTCATCCAAGTCTATAGATATGCAAGCAGAGTCTGCATCAGGGATACGACGGAAGGGAAGGGGAAGACAGAAGGGAGGACAGGAAAGTGAGACAAACAGAGAAAAAGAGAGAAGTAAAGAAAAGAAAGGTGGAAGAAAGGAAGAGAAAAGGTGAGGCAGAAAAAACAGTTTGGAGAGTACATGGTGAGTTGCGGCACTCAGACCATGTGATCTGGTCTGCCTTTCAGGCCTTCATTAGCGATATCCTAAAAGGCCAGCAGATGGAGGTGTTTCCTCAGGAAAGGAGGATTTTTTTTTTCTCTTCCCAGCAACCCAAACCCCCACCCCTATTCCTTACCTAAAAATTCCGTTTTCCTCTTCTGAACAATGATGCTACGAGATTAATACTGAAGTCTCTGAATTTACAAACAAACATGGTAAAATCTGCTTGTGATGACCCCAGTTCTAATTAAGAAGAGGCTCCTGTAGCTTTCTGCGTTTTGGGCTCATTAGGGCTCCCTCCTATCTTGCCCTATCCCAGTATAGATACATTTATTTATATTTACATGTTGTATATGTGTTTTGAATCATTGTTAAACAATTAAACAACATACGGTTATACTACAGTCCCCTTCCCAACCACCCTGCCATTAATAGTTTGCTTTCCCAGGTAGAATCTCTGTCACTTTGAATTCTTTTTTTTTAAATTAAGGTATCATTGATACACGATATTATGAAGGTTTCACATGAACTTTGAATTCTTAATTGTAGTAATTCTGGGTCTTTGCTTTCAATCCATGTGATATCTTCACTCTTCCACCTGGCTGTAAAGCAGCCAATTCTTAGGACTTCCACAGACTTTGACTGGTAAACTTCTGCCTTAAAAGGGAAAGAATCCGGTACAACAGTGCTTCCTAACCTTCAAGTGCATTAATCACCCAGGGAGGGATCTATACACAGGGCAGATAAGCATTTCCAAACACTGTCACAGAGCTGTGGACGGCTGTCTCCCGAGTCTAGAGCCACGACAATGAAATGCAGCATATGATTCTGGACAGGATCTTTTTGCTATAAAAACATTATTGGTACCCTTGGTGATCTCAGCTTGGTGGGTCTTGAAGAAGAAGGCGATGTGGAGAACAGAGATGAGTCAGCCAGAGTTCTTGCCCTTAACCTCTAACGGTATCTTCCTTTGGGTAAACGGGGTCCCAGCCTGGGTCCATGTTTAAAAGCCTTGTTTGGTCCTCCTCCTGCTCTGATAATTTCCCAAACGGGGGGAAGGGTTGAACCAGTAGCAACAAACGGACATGCCCATCAGATTGAGCTGCCCCTTATAGTCGAGCCTAAAATTTCCTGCCCAAATGCGCTTCAGCCTGCAGGTCTTCTCCCCATGGTCCCTCCTCGCATAATTGGGCCACAAGTGTATGTTTGCCTAGCCATGAGGAGCGATCACGCCTTGTTCCTGGTCGAAGCTGTTTACAGGATTGTGGACAAATTTTAGGTTTAAGGATTGGATGTCCATGTGTGTGGACGGAGGCCCTACAGGGCTGTTTTTTTTTGCTAGTTGCTACATTTAGTTGGAGCTCAAACTGTGTCTTTAAGATAATTATATATTTGAACTTTGCTTTTCAGGTCTTAGTAAGATATAGCAGTAGGAAACACAGACCATACTTCAGCTAGGCCGAGCCGAGAAAGAAGAAACCATACACTACAGCTAAGCCGAGAGCTGCGGGACATTTAAGCGCTTGGGCCTCCGGGAAATGCACAGGCTGAATGCTGGGCCAATCAGCAGCTGCGCCTCCGAGAGTCCGGCCAGGGGAGAAGAGAGACAGAGTCCGCGGAAACCACGCCTCTCCGAGCCCCTCAGAAAGAAGGATGGGCGGGAATCGCGTGCCTAGCACCTGCGGCAGCGCGCGTCGGGGCTGTATCTGCTGGGGGTGGAGCCACGCGTCTCCGTGCGCGCAGGGCGGGACCCAGCGGAGCCACGCCTCTTCCGGCGTGCGGCCCTTCCTCCGCGCGCGGGTATGCGTGTGAAGGTTCGGCTGTTTTAAATTCGGGTTCTGGCTGCCGTAGGGGCCGGATGGCGGAGGGGGCGTTGTCCAGTGCAAGGTGGCAGTACTGTGGAGAGCCGGATAAGAGCCAGAGAGCTGTGCTGGGTAAGGATTGCGGAGCCGCAGCAGAGGTCTCCGTTAACTCCCTCCCCTTTCGTCTCGATCTGCAGCGCTTCCCCTTCCTGCGTCGGGCCCCTTTCTCAGCTGGGCCAAGACCCCCTCTTGTCTCCACCGCTGCGTGGGGGCTTGGCCAGGCCTCTTCTGTCATCCCACCATCTTTCTGTCACCACCGCCCAGTTGGATGAGCACAACCCAGACCCCTCCCCAGGCCCCTGTCATCTCCTCGCTCACCAGGTCTCATCTGCCCCTCCTCTGGGCAGGGATTCCCTGTGTCTCTCTAGGTCTAGACCAGGCCTCCTCAGTCAGCCCCCTCCCCCTAATTATTCCCTCCTCCCCAGGACTCCCTTTCCCAGGACACCCCCTCTCCTCCCCATCCTCTCTTCCCAACCGGACCAGGACTTCCTTCAGTCCCCGTTTAGGTCAGGACCTGGCCTTCTTTGCCATCCCCATTCGTCCAGTTTCTCCTTACCATACACCTTCTACTGTCATTTAATTGTCAACTCTAACTTTACAGTCCAGTTCTCCAATGGGAAGCTGCGCAATCCAGGGAACATGCGCTTTACTTTGTACAAGAACAATGACTCCACCAACCCCAGGAAGAAGAGTCAGCGGATCCTGGTAGGTGCTCCTGGGGCTAGTTGCCTCCACTCTGCAGGCCTCAGGACGCCCCTTGGATGTGGGTGTAAATGGGAGGGTGCAGAGAGAAGAAAAGGAGATATTCCCAGGTGTCCATGGAAGATGGATTTCCTGTGTTGAGAACCACTGTTCTGTAGCGGTGAGAACTGCGTGGGAGGCACTCACACAAGGAGACAAAGCTCAGGGCCTAAGGGGGAGAGGACAGGGCAGAGTGAGCTCAGTCAGAGGAGTCACTGCTTGCCAGAATGGCTTGTGGGGTGGGAATGGCAGTGAATTGTAGCTGAGCCCTCCTGAATAATGGAAAAGAGCTTGACAGCTGAGGTTTAGTATTTCAGGTGAAGAGGATACTGAGGTCAAACAGGGAAGCAGGAAAGCTTGGCTGTGATTGAGGGGTGAACCAGCCACTTCCATAGTCCTGAAATCTATAGGGAGCAGTCATGGGAGATGTAGGCAAAGAGGTTCAATAAGGGCTTGGACTTTGGGCCCAGGAGGTTACTTGCAGAATCATTTTGGTGCATGCCTGTAAATGTTGGGAGCCCAAGGCCTTTCCCACATCCTATAGTGCAGCTCCCCCCAGAACTTTTCAGACTAACTGGAAGCTAGCACTATCTGGGGCTTCCCTTTGAATAGTTCTTTTGTCTTTCTCCCAGGGACACCCCAGATTCACTTAGAGATAGTGGGGCCAGATTGTCTCCCAGAAGCTCTCTAGTTCTGATCCACTGTGGTATGGATTCTAAAACTTTTGCAAATGTGAAAAAGGGAGATAGGTGATTAATACCTTTTAAACTGGTTGTAATGGAGCTTTTCCCCTCTATATTTTAGGCAGCTGAAACAGACAGACTCTCCTATGTAGGAAACAATTTTGGAACTGGAGCTCTCAAATGCAACACTCTGTGCAGGTAGGGGTGGGAAAGGGACAGTGGGTAGAGGAGTGTAGTGGTGGTGGCCCTTGCTCTGCTGTTCTTGGTCTGAATATTTTATAGCAGTGGGAGTTTATCCAGAGAGGTTTACCAAATTCCTGTGTTTGCAGACCCCGTGGGCCTCATACTAGCATGTACACATTTCTGGAAAGGAAGGACTTATATTTGTTGAATTTCCTAAAAGCTGCATTCATTTGTAATATTCCTTAAAAAATTTTTTTAAAGTTGTGATATAATTGACATGTAACATCTTAGTTTCAGGTGTACAACATAGTGATTCAATGTGCGTATGCATTGGGAAATGGCCATTACAATAAGTCTAGTTAACATCCATTACCACACATAGTTATAGATATACTTTTTTCATGTGATGAGAACTTTTAAGATGCACTCTTAACTAACTTTTAAATATACAGTACAGTATTAACTGTAGTCACCATGCTGTGCATTACTTCCCAGGACTTATTTATTAACTGGAAGTTTGTACCTTTTGACCCCCTTTGTTCATTTTGATCACGTCGTTGATTTTCAGTGTTCTTTATTACGTCTTGTTCCAAAAAGGCAGCTATCACTTCTGATTTGGAGTGTGTGGTCAGTAGGCCAAAGCTTGCCTTGAGTTTGCCTTGGAACTAATTACAAGAAAAGGATTTGGTAGAGTCCAAGGCTCCGGGGTTTCTCTCCAACTGGTGATGATTGATGGACTGACTTTAGTCGTCTCTGCCCTTCACTGACTCCCACACCACTCCCTCTTGGTACAGTGAAAATTGTCTAAGCAGGCTATAACTGTTGGTCTGGCATGATGCAGCCACTGTCCCAGGGATGGTATCCAATAGTGAAGCACAAAATAGGCCCTTTCAGAGCCTCCAGTGGACGACCCTGGTAGAAATCAGGTTAATGTGTATATGATTAAAACTATTAACATCATATCATCCCTTTGCAAAGATGCCCTAGTTCAGACTTGTCCTCTCTCCATAATTGCCAAGGTTTTACTTATCTCTGTCTCCATAACATTTATGCGTGCAGTAAATTCTAGTGTAATTCCAGCTGCTTATATCCGGAAAGGGTTTTGCACTACAGCACTTAGCCCAAATGTGATTAGCTACCAGAATCACTTGGTAGCTTCTTCCCCCCACACCCTAGCCCCCAGAACTACTACATGAACCGTCCCTCCCCCTTCCCTCCTTTCCCTCATTTAGAGGATTGAGGATTTCTGCAATAGGAGATTGTTGGTCCTCATGAGCAGGTGATGCATTCCTTAGGGGAATTAGCACAGCAGGAAGGTTGAGGACTTGACTTTTCCTGCATATGCTTCCTTTTATTTATTTAAATGAATTGAATTTAAATCCTTCGACAAAATACTAGGCAAATACTTCATTTTTTTTCCCTGTAGTTAAGAATTGGCCTATTTTTCTATGATGAGTGCCTAAATCCATAAGAAGGTTACAAATTGTTAAGCAGGAAAAAAGTTGTATAAACAATACCTTTTGAATAATCCATTGTCACTTGTATTCCTTCTTTATTCAGGCACTTTGTGGGAATTTTGAACAAGACCTCTGGCCAAATGGAAGTATACGATGCTGAATTGTTCAGCATGCAGCCGCTGCTTTCAGGTAGGACGCTGAAGGGTCACAAAAACACTGCCTATTTTACATTTGCTGGATGGATTTTAATTTCTAAAACGCATTTTGTAGTTATTTTTTAAAGGGTGCCTTTCTGCAAAGGTTTTCTGTTTGCTTCATTTGAAAAATTTTAAGAGTGTTTTTGCTCAGCAAGTATTTCTTAATGACCTACTGTACTATGCTCTAGGCAAAGGTTTGGGGTTGTGGAGATAGCAAAACATACAGATCCTATCCCATGGTATTTACAGATTGGCGATCAGAAGCAAGTCTTACTTAAAGCAAGCTGAGTAGTAGTCAGAACAGAATATTGATGGGCATGTCTGATACTCTTTTCCGTCGAAGGTCTTTCTGAATTCTTAACTGTTCTAGTAGGGGTATAGGCTTTAGAATCTCTGTAGGTGATGGAAGTTGTTTATAGGTTGGATGGTAACTTTCATGTTGATGAGAAGTGTCTACACTTTATGATTTGGGAGGTTTATTTTTTCCCTAATCCAGTGGGAGAAGTTGCATTGCTTCTCTGCTTTGGTATCTTAGGATGCTCAGGGCTAGAGTGGGATCTTCCAGAATGCTAGAGAAAAGGGTCAGACTCAAGGGGCCCCTGTTGCCTAAATCTTAAATATTGAGAACTGTGGCAGGGAGAACATTAGGGAGGAGTGTTAGGGTCCTGGTGACTCTGCCTGGTGCCTTCAGAGGCATTCATTCTGACTTGATTCCTTCAGAGCAGTAGTTCCAGTCTTTTCAAGAATCTGATAAGAGTCTGGACCTCCTTTCCAGAAGTATGCATAATACACAAAAATATATATATGAGATTTTCTATATAATTTTAAAGGGCTCTTAAGTTCCAAAGCCCATCTGTGAATTTCTTAGGGGTCCATAGTCTCTAAGTTAAGAATCCACCGCTTTGCAAAAACACAAGTACAATTAAAATACCTTTCAAATGGTCTTATGACTTTCAATGAGGCAAAGAAAATTGTTCATTAATTTGTTGGTTAAACAAATTTTTGTTTTTACATGTAAAAAGTTTGTAAATACTGGTTTATTCTAGCTAGCATACATAAACACACACATTTATTGGGCCCTTGTCATGTGCTAGGCACTGCTCTGAGCGCTTCCTCTGCACTATATCATTTACTTCACATAACAACCTTCTGGGTAGATATTGTTATTCCTTTTTTATTAATGACAAAATGGGCACAGAGGTTGAGTGACTTTGTCAGGAACATACTGCTGATCTTTATGCAGGGTCACTCCAGAGCTTGTGCTCCCATCCACTCAATTATACTGCCCCTTAAATGAGTACTTTGTGGGAGAGTAGAGAGTTTCATGTAAGAATCCATACATCGTGCTTATGCCTGCTTTTATAGGGAGGGCAGAACTATTTACTGGAAAGACCTGAGGGCTTGCTTTCTGATCCCATCTCTGCCTCTGCCTGGTGAACCTTCCTGGGGCAAGTCCTTTCCTGTGGAGGCCTTTGTAAAGGGAAGAGGTTTTACCAAATGACCCCTTCGTTATTCTCCAAGGTCTCTAACTAGGTCCTGAAGGTGTGTACTAAATGTTCACAGTATCCACTCATCTTAAGCTTTGGGAAGTCCCGTAGTAAAGAAATGTTTTTTTCTTACATTAGTTGTTAAATATTACTATCTGTAGGCCTTATAGTTTACTTTTTTTTTCTTTCCTGTTTTTGTTTTGTGTTTGGATAGATGAATCAGTTGAGAGTGAATCAACACTAGAGAGTCAGACCAAAACTTTTAGAGAAAAGGTAAGTGTGAAAGGACCTAAGACATGGGACCTGATGCAAGTTCCTCCTCGGTCTTGGGTTTCTACACCAGTAAAGAGAGCTGGCTGAACACAGGGCTGTGGTTCTGGGCAATTCCTACCTGCAGAGACCTCCTGGGCAGTCTCCTTTCTTGGGCAGCTATACATGGCTCTGTGCCAATGTTTGGGGATGGTTCTCTGGGCAGATAGAGGTGTAGTGTAACGTTTATTTTTAGGATTTAACCCAAGTTTCAGAAAATATTGGTTGTAGTCTAGAAACCTCCACATTAAAACAGACTTTAGGATTGTCAGTGTAAAAGGTTTCTACGAAGCTCATCTCACCCCAGGCTGGCAGACTGATGGATATTTAAGTGCTGTCAGGAATATTGTATTGAAAAGGGGTGTAAGGCCATCTTCAGGCTCAGAAGGACAGAGTGAGTGATCTACTAACAGTGTCTGTCATGGGTGTAGGATTGGGAAATGGCAAGCTGTGTGCCACAGATTTACCAACCCTAACTCTAGTCAAGTATTTCCATTTCACAGGTGGAGATACTTGATTCAGTGTATAGGTGAGGTAATCATGGCTCAGAGAGTCTGAGAGTTTCCCCATAATCACACAGCTAGGAGGAGCAGTGACCAGCCTGTCTGCATTAACCAGATTTTTCTCTTGCACAGATGGATTCTTGCATTGAAGTCTTTGGTACCACCAAACAGAAGCGTGCTCTGAACTCTAGGAGAATGAACAGAGTTGGCAGTGAATCTTTGAATTGTGTGATAGCTAAAGCTGCAGAGAATATTATTGATGCAAAGGGTGTGACTGGTAAGCAGCTGGACGTCGGGGTGAGAGTCTGCTCTTGGGGACAGCCTTCTCTCCTCTTGGGCTCTCTCACCCACCTCACAGATGGTAATGATGGGGGTTGGGCTGGATTTCTTCCTGCTTCTTGCTGAGTGCTTTTTAGGGAACAGATTCTGGAAGTGGTAAAGAAACATCTGACATGGCCTATGCTCAGCTCATGGTCAAGTGGAGGAGGTAGCCGTGGGAACGGGTATGTGCATGCCCTGGCCTTGGTGCCGGGGTGGCAGCCTGCATAGTAAAGAGAAGTGAGGCCACCTCAACTCACTGTAAGTCACAGGGAGGTTTTAGTCAAATAGGCTGATGCGGTGGCGATGAACTGAGCCTCTAGAGACAGTGTTCCACTTTGGGGCTGGTGGATCTTTTTCTGCTCCCAAACTCCTCAGCAGCTCCAGGATTCAACTGTGTTGTATAAAGATGTGTTTATTGTTCAGGTGCATTATAAGAACTTAAGAGAATATGTATGAGAACTGTTTTTTAATTAAAATGGAATTTTAGTAATTCTTAGAATATCTTTCCGTATCCTATGACTATACAAATAGTTTCCTGTTTTCTTTCAGTATGTTGATAATTTTACTTTTTACATTGAAATCTTAAAGTTTTGGGATTTTCTTGGCTTGTGGTACAGACCTAATTTTATATCTTCCAAATGGTTAGTCATTTGTCCCCAACACCATCATTTCCTTTTGTAAAAGATGATTTAAAAAGGCATCTTTATCATCTTCCCATATTCTTAGTTGCAGTCTGTTCTGTGGTCCTGACTGGCTACTCCTGTAGCAGCATCAGGCTCTCTTGATTAAAGTAGGCTCATCATCCGGTTTGTGGTCTGACAGGGTAGATGTGTCCTCTTTCATCCTTACTTTTCACAAGTGTATTGGTTATGGTGGCATGCTTTTTCTTCCAGGTGATCTTAAGAATTATTTTGTCAAGTTCCTCAAAATCCATGTGGGATTATGGGGAGGAGCAACATATTTGCAATACTGTTTTCCCACCAGGAACATAGACATTATGTCTCTCCATGTATTCAGAGATGTACTTTAATATCCAAGTAAATTTTTAAATCTTTTTGTTCGGCTTACCTCAGCTATTAAAGGACATTAAAAAAAAAGTCATTTCCCCTCATTCTGCCAGACCAGCTGTTACAATTTTCCTCAGTATACTTGTCTATGTGTATACTTAATTCTTACACAGTTATTCTTATAGGATAGTTAGTTTTATATACTGATTTTGTTTTTACTCACAACATGTGGAGAAGTTTTCTGAAAGTTAAGCTATTAAAGGTTCTTTTGAATATCCCTCACCTTTTGCATCTCATATCATGTTGTGAATATTTATTAGCCAACCTGTCTTCCAGTTACCCTTCACATTATTTGAGGGGGACCATGCAGTATCCACCTTCTCTAGTGCCTGGTTAGGTTTGTGTTTGGTGTACACTGTAGTCCTGGAGGCCCACATTGGCAGAAGCATTCAGAGAGGGCTTTCTGGGCCAGTTGTGATCTCAGGCACACACATTGCAAAGACTGTTGGGGAACTTGAAGCCAAACCAGGATGATAACAGCAGTAACTCTTCTTTATTGAAAAGCTCTGGTCAGTGATGCCATCCATGATGACTTGCAAGATGACTCCCTCTGCCTGCCTCCCTGCCATGCCGACGCAGTCAAGCCTGATGATGTGTATAAATTTGAAGATAGTATCCTTGCTGTAATAGAAATGCTGCCTTATTTCACGGGTTGGGGTATGTGCACATGAGTGGCATAGCCAGGTGCTCTAAGCAGTCTGGTCCCGTGACACTCACAGAAGCTACCTCCTCACCTTAGCAGTTGCCCCAGTGCTGTTGCTGGGAAGTCAGCAAGTCTTCTTCACTTGCTGAGGGAACCTCTTTTGGCATCAGTTTCTTAGCCTCTGGGATTCAGTATTTCTTCAGCAAAATTCCAAATTCCCACACTCAGCCCTGTGGGAACTATTCTCCTTGAATATTCAAAATAGGATTTTTAAGTCATCTAATACCCAAAGTCTTGGGCAGGCTGATGAGTAAAATGACGGGTTGGAGCATAGAATTTCCCTCCTTGTGGGTGTAGTCAGGTGAAAAATGCCTGCAGTGGCTTGGTGATAAGTAAAGAAGACAGTAAAATCCAGAGAGGGCAAAAGCTCTGGGGAAGTGAGTCCCAGAGCTCTGCCTGCTGTACACAGATTTTCCCATCTCTGAAATGAGACCACCTATGAGATGATCTGGCTAGTGGATGTTTCAGTTTTGGTCAGATTGTATTCTTGACCTGCAACTAGTTCTTTCCCCTGCGGAGTATGAAGCTCTTCAGGGCCCATCTGAAGCTTTCAAGAATATTTCATCGGAAGAACTGCTGAAGATGACTGAGGAGAACAGGTAACCCCACTTGGGTGGGTGGAGTATCGGGGAGTGATGTTGGGAAACAACAGCAGTCAAACATGAAGCAGACCTTCGGGCGTAGGTCAGTGAGGATGTATATCTGTTCAGCATTTGAACATGAGTTCAAGTCAGTGTTCTTTGGAATGTTTGGGCTCCCAGGCCCTTCTTCTCCCAAGGCTGTGGGTGTCATTCAAGGGCGAGAGTTGGCCTCTGAGTGCGTGGGGCTTGTGGCTGAGCAGAGGGTGGTGAAGCCTCAGATCTGGGGCTGGAAACTGGAGCTGGCCTTTGGCCTCCAGTATTAGGCTGATTGGCACCAGAGAGACCCAGGTGTTGGCCAAGGAGTAGAGGTGCCCGCTGAAGTGATGGTTAATCTGTGATGATTTGCTGAGTAAGCTTTTCTAAAGTTAAATTTCTGTGTTAAATATTAAATATTGTACCTTTTAAATCAGAGATTATCCCCCCTATTTTTTTGCTTTTGAATTTTTTCTTTTAATAACTTCAACTTGAGAAAATAAAAAGTTGTCAACACTAGGTTGGTTCCCCTGACTTAAAAAAAAGGCTTTTTTTTTTCTCTCTTTCCAAGATCCATTTCCACAAAAGAGCTCATGACTAGTTCTTGCTTGTCTTAATGTGGTTGTGGTTCAGAGACAGGTACAGAGATCAGCTCTGGGCTGGGAACCTGGAGAACAGGTCCGTGACTCTGCCAGATGTGCTGGGTAGGCCTTCCTTCTCCACACTTCCAGTTTCCTATCTGCAAAATGATGCCGCTGTAGATAATCTTGAAGTTTTTTATCTCTGTGAGTCAAGATCCTCGTAGTGGTAGAATAGTATATAAGAATAATAGCTAACATTGATTGAACCCTTATATGTGCCAAGCACTGTACTTGCATTGTCTTACTTAATATGCAAAAAATCTATAGGAGAAGGATGCTATCACTGGTCTCAATTGTTAAGTGAAGATGATACACAGAAATGTACAGCAAATGTACAGAAACTTGTCTAAGCCACTTCATGGCGGAGGATTCAGACTCAGGCAGGCAGTCTGACCCCATAGCCTGTGCTCCAGACCACTGCGTCAGGACTGGGCAACTGTGGCCCATGTGAGCAGAGTTTTATTGCTCTGGTTGTTCATTTATGGATTATTGATGGCTGCTTTTATACTCCAGTGGCAGGTCTGAGTAGATGCAAAAGAGACCTCATTGCCCAGAGGCCTAAAGTATCAGCCATCTAGCCCTTTACTGCCTCTGTGCTAACCCGCATTCCCCTGTTACAAGGAGCATTAGTAGGATGGCCTTCCTCAGCTGGGAGGGTGGACAGCTCCTAACAGCAGTCTGACACATGCCGCCTTTCCCTCCCTTGTTTTAGCCACTGCTCCTTTGTCATAGAAGCATTGAAGTCTTTGCCATCAGGTGAGGAGAGCCGGGACCACCAGGCCCGATGCATATGGTTTCTGGACACCCTCATCAAATTCCGAGCACAGAAAGTGATTAAGCGGAAAAGTAAGTCCATGATAGACATTTTATTCTAGTTATTTCAAGTCCATTAATTGTCTGTTAGACCATCCCTAATAAGAGAAGAAAATACATATTTGTCTAGATCTTTTCTTTTAACTGTGTAACAGTGCGATTCCTATTTCTGACATGCTGAGGACGTGGCAGGCTTTTCTCATCTGAAAATGAGGACAGGTTGGATTATGTGATTGTTCTGAGGTGACATTCACTACTTCTGTTTTGCATTAGGCAAAGCATAATATCCAGTCAAATCAGATGAAAATTTTAAGGGATTGTTAGACAGATGTAGGGAGAAAAATTGACCTTGCTTATGAAGTCTTGTGGCTGGTTTGTGTCAACTTACTTCTGACTGGGAGGGCAAAGTGTCAGTTCCTGCTGGTGACCTGTGTCGCCTATAGCTAAGGCCATGGGTGGCTGGCTGCCACAATTATATCCACCCAGAGTTGGAAACCCAGCAGGAGACACCTGTGACTTTAGGTACAAGGTTTATGCAGTCTTGTTACTGTGGTCCAGAACCCAAGAGTCTATGTTTTTCAGNACTATCTGGGGCTTCCCTTTGAATAGTTCTTTTGTCTTTCTCCCAGGGACACCCCAGATTCACTTAGAGATAGTGGGGCCAGATTGTCTCCCAGAAGCTCTCTAGTTCTGATCCACTGTGGTATGGATTCTAAAACTTTTGCAAATGTGAAAAAGGGAGATAGGTGATTAATACCTTTTAAACTGGTTGTAATGGAGCTTTTCCCCTCTATATTTTAGGCAGCTGAAACAGACAGACTCTCCTATGTAGGAAACAATTTTGGAACTGGAGCTCTCAAATGCAACACTCTGTGCAGGTAGGGGTGGGAAAGGGACAGTGGGTAGAGGAGTGTAGTGGTGGTGGCCCTTGCTCTGCTGTTCTTGGTCTGAATATTTTATAGCAGTGGGAGTTTATCCAGAGAGGTTTACCAAATTCCTGTGTTTGCAGACCCCGTGGGCCTCATACTAGCATGTACACATTTCTGGAAAGGAAGGACTTATATTTGTTGAATTTCCTAAAAGCTGCATTCATTTGTAATATTCCTTAAAAAATTTTTTTAAAGTTGTGATATAATTGACATGTAACATCTTAGTTTCAGGTGTACAACATAGTGATTCAATGTGCGTATGCATTGGGAAATGGCCATTACAATAAGTCTAGTTAACATCCATTACCACACATAGTTATAGATATACTTTTTTCATGTGATGAGAACTTTTAAGATGCACTCTTAACTAACTTTTAAATATACAGTACAGTATTAACTGTAGTCACCATGCTGTGCATTACTTCCCAGGACTTATTTATTAACTGGAAGTTTGTACCTTTTGACCCCCTTTGTTCATTTTGATCACGTCGTTGATTTTCAGTGTTCTTTATTACGTCTTGTTCCAAAAAGGCAGCTATCACTTCTGATTTGGAGTGTGTGGTCAGTAGGCCAAAGCTTGCCTTGAGTTTGCCTTGGAACTAATTACAAGAAAAGGATTTGGTAGAGTCCAAGGCTCCGGGGTTTCTCTCCAACTGGTGATGATTGATGGACTGACTTTAGTCGTCTCTGCCCTTCACTGACTCCCACACCACTCCCTCTTGGTACAGTGAAAATTGTCTAAGCAGGCTATAACTGTTGGTCTGGCATGATGCAGCCACTGTCCCAGGGATGGTATCCAATAGTGAAGCACAAAATAGGCCCTTTCAGAGCCTCCAGTGGACGACCCTGGTAGAAATCAGGTTAATGTGTATATGATTAAAACTATTAACATCATATCATCCCTTTGCAAAGATGCCCTAGTTCAGACTTGTCCTCTCTCCATAATTGCCAAGGTTTTACTTATCTCTGTCTCCATAACATTTATGCGTGCAGTAAATTCTAGTGTAATTCCAGCTGCTTATATCCGGAAAGGGTTTTGCACTACAGCACTTAGCCCAAATGTGATTAGCTACCAGAATCACTTGGTAGCTTCTTCCCCCCACACCCTAGCCCCCAGAACTACTACATGAACCGTCCCTCCCCCTTCCCTCCTTTCCCTCATTTAGAGGATTGAGGATTTCTGCAATAGGAGATTGTTGGTCCTCATGAGCAGGTGATGCATTCCTTAGGGGAATTAGCACAGCAGGAAGGTTGAGGACTTGACTTTTCCTGCATATGCTTCCTTTTATTTATTTAAATGAATTGAATTTAAATCCTTCGACAAAATACTAGGCAAATACTTCATTTTTTTTCCCTGTAGTTAAGAATTGGCCTATTTTTCTATGATGAGTGCCTAAATCCATAAGAAGGTTACAAATTGTTAAGCAGGAAAAAAGTTGTATAAACAATACCTTTTGAATAATCCATTGTCACTTGTATTCCTTCTTTATTCAGGCACTTTGTGGGAATTTTGAACAAGACCTCTGGCCAAATGGAAGTATACGATGCTGAATTGTTCAGCATGCAGCCGCTGCTTTCAGGTAGGACGCTGAAGGGTCACAAAAACACTGCCTATTTTACATTTGCTGGATGGATTTTAATTTCTAAAACGCATTTTGTAGTTATTTTTTAAAGGGTGCCTTTCTGCAAAGGTTTTCTGTTTGCTTCATTTGAAAAATTTTAAGAGTGTTTTTGCTCAGCAAGTATTTCTTAATGACCTACTGTACTATGCTCTAGGCAAAGGTTTGGGGTTGTGGAGATAGCAAAACATACAGATCCTATCCCATGGTATTTACAGATTGGCGATCAGAAGCAAGTCTTACTTAAAGCAAGCTGAGTAGTAGTCAGAACAGAATATTGATGGGCATGTCTGATACTCTTTTCCGTCGAAGGTCTTTCTGAATTCTTAACTGTTCTAGTAGGGGTATAGGCTTTAGAATCTCTGTAGGTGATGGAAGTTGTTTATAGGTTGGATGGTAACTTTCATGTTGATGAGAAGTGTCTACACTTTATGATTTGGGAGGTTTATTTTTTCCCTAATCCAGTGGGAGAAGTTGCATTGCTTCTCTGCTTTGGTATCTTAGGATGCTCAGGGCTAGAGTGGGATCTTCCAGAATGCTAGAGAAAAGGGTCAGACTCAAGGGGCCCCTGTTGCCTAAATCTTAAATATTGAGAACTGTGGCAGGGAGAACATTAGGGAGGAGTGTTAGGGTCCTGGTGACTCTGCCTGGTGCCTTCAGAGGCATTCATTCTGACTTGATTCCTTCAGAGCAGTAGTTCCAGTCTTTTCAAGAATCTGATAAGAGTCTGGACCTCCTTTCCAGAAGTATGCATAATACACAAAAATATATATATGAGATTTTCTATATAATTTTAAAGGGCTCTTAAGTTCCAAAGCCCATCTGTGAATTTCTTAGGGGTCCATAGTCTCTAAGTTAAGAATCCACCGCTTTGCAAAAACACAAGTACAATTAAAATACCTTTCAAATGGTCTTATGACTTTCAATGAGGCAAAGAAAATTGTTCATTAATTTGTTGGTTAAACAAATTTTTGTTTTTACATGTAAAAAGTTTGTAAATACTGGTTTATTCTAGCTAGCATACATAAACACACACATTTATTGGGCCCTTGTCATGTGCTAGGCACTGCTCTGAGCGCTTCCTCTGCACTATATCATTTACTTCACATAACAACCTTCTGGGTAGATATTGTTATTCCTTTTTTATTAATGACAAAATGGGCACAGAGGTTGAGTGACTTTGTCAGGAACATACTGCTGATCTTTATGCAGGGTCACTCCAGAGCTTGTGCTCCCATCCACTCAATTATACTGCCCCTTAAATGAGTACTTTGTGGGAGAGTAGAGAGTTTCATGTAAGAATCCATACATCGTGCTTATGCCTGCTTTTATAGGGAGGGCAGAACTATTTACTGGAAAGACCTGAGGGCTTGCTTTCTGATCCCATCTCTGCCTCTGCCTGGTGAACCTTCCTGGGGCAAGTCCTTTCCTGTGGAGGCCTTTGTAAAGGGAAGAGGTTTTACCAAATGACCCCTTCGTTATTCTCCAAGGTCTCTAACTAGGTCCTGAAGGTGTGTACTAAATGTTCACAGTATCCACTCATCTTAAGCTTTGGGAAGTCCCGTAGTAAAGAAATGTTTTTTTCTTACATTAGTTGTTAAATATTACTATCTGTAGGCCTTATAGTTTACTTTTTTTTTCTTTCCTGTTTTTGTTTTGTGTTTGGATAGATGAATCAGTTGAGAGTGAATCAACACTAGAGAGTCAGACCAAAACTTTTAGAGAAAAGGTAAGTGTGAAAGGACCTAAGACATGGGACCTGATGCAAGTTCCTCCTCGGTCTTGGGTTTCTACACCAGTAAAGAGAGCTGGCTGAACACAGGGCTGTGGTTCTGGGCAATTCCTACCTGCAGAGACCTCCTGGGCAGTCTCCTTTCTTGGGCAGCTATACATGGCTCTGTGCCAATGTTTGGGGATGGTTCTCTGGGCAGATAGAGGTGTAGTGTAACGTTTATTTTTAGGATTTAACCCAAGTTTCAGAAAATATTGGTTGTAGTCTAGAAACCTCCACATTAAAACAGACTTTAGGATTGTCAGTGTAAAAGGTTTCTACGAAGCTCATCTCACCCCAGGCTGGCAGACTGATGGATATTTAAGTGCTGTCAGGAATATTGTATTGAAAAGGGGTGTAAGGCCATCTTCAGGCTCAGAAGGACAGAGTGAGTGATCTACTAACAGTGTCTGTCATGGGTGTAGGATTGGGAAATGGCAAGCTGTGTGCCACAGATTTACCAACCCTAACTCTAGTCAAGTATTTCCATTTCACAGGTGGAGATACTTGATTCAGTGTATAGGTGAGGTAATCATGGCTCAGAGAGTCTGAGAGTTTCCCCATAATCACACAGCTAGGAGGAGCAGTGACCAGCCTGTCTGCATTAACCAGATTTTTCTCTTGCACAGATGGATTCTTGCATTGAAGTCTTTGGTACCACCAAACAGAAGCGTGCTCTGAACTCTAGGAGAATGAACAGAGTTGGCAGTGAATCTTTGAATTGTGTGATAGCTAAAGCTGCAGAGAATATTATTGATGCAAAGGGTGTGACTGGTAAGCAGCTGGACGTCGGGGTGAGAGTCTGCTCTTGGGGACAGCCTTCTCTCCTCTTGGGCTCTCTCACCCACCTCACAGATGGTAATGATGGGGGTTGGGCTGGATTTCTTCCTGCTTCTTGCTGAGTGCTTTTTAGGGAACAGATTCTGGAAGTGGTAAAGAAACATCTGACATGGCCTATGCTCAGCTCATGGTCAAGTGGAGGAGGTAGCCGTGGGAACGGGTATGTGCATGCCCTGGCCTTGGTGCCGGGGTGGCAGCCTGCATAGTAAAGAGAAGTGAGGCCACCTCAACTCACTGTAAGTCACAGGGAGGTTTTAGTCAAATAGGCTGATGCGGTGGCGATGAACTGAGCCTCTAGAGACAGTGTTCCACTTTGGGGCTGGTGGATCTTTTTCTGCTCCCAAACTCCTCAGCAGCTCCAGGATTCAACTGTGTTGTATAAAGATGTGTTTATTGTTCAGGTGCATTATAAGAACTTAAGAGAATATGTATGAGAACTGTTTTTTAATTAAAATGGAATTTTAGTAATTCTTAGAATATCTTTCCGTATCCTATGACTATACAAATAGTTTCCTGTTTTCTTTCAGTATGTTGATAATTTTACTTTTTACATTGAAATCTTAAAGTTTTGGGATTTTCTTGGCTTGTGGTACAGACCTAATTTTATATCTTCCAAATGGTTAGTCATTTGTCCCCAACACCATCATTTCCTTTTGTAAAAGATGATTTAAAAAGGCATCTTTATCATCTTCCCATATTCTTAGTTGCAGTCTGTTCTGTGGTCCTGACTGGCTACTCCTGTAGCAGCATCAGGCTCTCTTGATTAAAGTAGGCTCATCATCCGGTTTGTGGTCTGACAGGGTAGATGTGTCCTCTTTCATCCTTACTTTTCACAAGTGTATTGGTTATGGTGGCATGCTTTTTCTTCCAGGTGATCTTAAGAATTATTTTGTCAAGTTCCTCAAAATCCATGTGGGATTATGGGGAGGAGCAACATATTTGCAATACTGTTTTCCCACCAGGAACATAGACATTATGTCTCTCCATGTATTCAGAGATGTACTTTAATATCCAAGTAAATTTTTAAATCTTTTTGTTCGGCTTACCTCAGCTATTAAAGGACATTAAAAAAAAAGTCATTTCCCCTCATTCTGCCAGACCAGCTGTTACAATTTTCCTCAGTATACTTGTCTATGTGTATACTTAATTCTTACACAGTTATTCTTATAGGATAGTTAGTTTTATATACTGATTTTGTTTTTACTCACAACATGTGGAGAAGTTTTCTGAAAGTTAAGCTATTAAAGGTTCTTTTGAATATCCCTCACCTTTTGCATCTCATATCATGTTGTGAATATTTATTAGCCAACCTGTCTTCCAGTTACCCTTCACATTATTTGAGGGGGACCATGCAGTATCCACCTTCTCTAGTGCCTGGTTAGGTTTGTGTTTGGTGTACACTGTAGTCCTGGAGGCCCACATTGGCAGAAGCATTCAGAGAGGGCTTTCTGGGCCAGTTGTGATCTCAGGCACACACATTGCAAAGACTGTTGGGGAACTTGAAGCCAAACCAGGATGATAACAGCAGTAACTCTTCTTTATTGAAAAGCTCTGGTCAGTGATGCCATCCATGATGACTTGCAAGATGACTCCCTCTGCCTGCCTCCCTGCCATGCCGACGCAGTCAAGCCTGATGATGTGTATAAATTTGAAGATAGTATCCTTGCTGTAATAGAAATGCTGCCTTATTTCACGGGTTGGGGTATGTGCACATGAGTGGCATAGCCAGGTGCTCTAAGCAGTCTGGTCCCGTGACACTCACAGAAGCTACCTCCTCACCTTAGCAGTTGCCCCAGTGCTGTTGCTGGGAAGTCAGCAAGTCTTCTTCACTTGCTGAGGGAACCTCTTTTGGCATCAGTTTCTTAGCCTCTGGGATTCAGTATTTCTTCAGCAAAATTCCAAATTCCCACACTCAGCCCTGTGGGAACTATTCTCCTTGAATATTCAAAATAGGATTTTTAAGTCATCTAATACCCAAAGTCTTGGGCAGGCTGATGAGTAAAATGACGGGTTGGAGCATAGAATTTCCCTCCTTGTGGGTGTAGTCAGGTGAAAAATGCCTGCAGTGGCTTGGTGATAAGTAAAGAAGACAGTAAAATCCAGAGAGGGCAAAAGCTCTGGGGAAGTGAGTCCCAGAGCTCTGCCTGCTGTACACAGATTTTCCCATCTCTGAAATGAGACCACCTATGAGATGATCTGGCTAGTGGATGTTTCAGTTTTGGTCAGATTGTATTCTTGACCTGCAACTAGTTCTTTCCCCTGCGGAGTATGAAGCTCTTCAGGGCCCATCTGAAGCTTTCAAGAATATTTCATCGGAAGAACTGCTGAAGATGACTGAGGAGAACAGGTAACCCCACTTGGGTGGGTGGAGTATCGGGGAGTGATGTTGGGAAACAACAGCAGTCAAACATGAAGCAGACCTTCGGGCGTAGGTCAGTGAGGATGTATATCTGTTCAGCATTTGAACATGAGTTCAAGTCAGTGTTCTTTGGAATGTTTGGGCTCCCAGGCCCTTCTTCTCCCAAGGCTGTGGGTGTCATTCAAGGGCGAGAGTTGGCCTCTGAGTGCGTGGGGCTTGTGGCTGAGCAGAGGGTGGTGAAGCCTCAGATCTGGGGCTGGAAACTGGAGCTGGCCTTTGGCCTCCAGTATTAGGCTGATTGGCACCAGAGAGACCCAGGTGTTGGCCAAGGAGTAGAGGTGCCCGCTGAAGTGATGGTTAATCTGTGATGATTTGCTGAGTAAGCTTTTCTAAAGTTAAATTTCTGTGTTAAATATTAAATATTGTACCTTTTAAATCAGAGATTATCCCCCCTATTTTTTTGCTTTTGAATTTTTTCTTTTAATAACTTCAACTTGAGAAAATAAAAAGTTGTCAACACTAGGTTGGTTCCCCTGACTTAAAAAAAAGGCTTTTTTTTTTCTCTCTTTCCAAGATCCATTTCCACAAAAGAGCTCATGACTAGTTCTTGCTTGTCTTAATGTGGTTGTGGTTCAGAGACAGGTACAGAGATCAGCTCTGGGCTGGGAACCTGGAGAACAGGTCCGTGACTCTGCCAGATGTGCTGGGTAGGCCTTCCTTCTCCACACTTCCAGTTTCCTATCTGCAAAATGATGCCGCTGTAGATAATCTTGAAGTTTTTTATCTCTGTGAGTCAAGATCCTCGTAGTGGTAGAATAGTATATAAGAATAATAGCTAACATTGATTGAACCCTTATATGTGCCAAGCACTGTACTTGCATTGTCTTACTTAATATGCAAAAAATCTATAGGAGAAGGATGCTATCACTGGTCTCAATTGTTAAGTGAAGATGATACACAGAAATGTACAGCAAATGTACAGAAACTTGTCTAAGCCACTTCATGGCGGAGGATTCAGACTCAGGCAGGCAGTCTGACCCCATAGCCTGTGCTCCAGACCACTGCGTCAGGACTGGGCAACTGTGGCCCATGTGAGCAGAGTTTTATTGCTCTGGTTGTTCATTTATGGATTATTGATGGCTGCTTTTATACTCCAGTGGCAGGTCTGAGTAGATGCAAAAGAGACCTCATTGCCCAGAGGCCTAAAGTATCAGCCATCTAGCCCTTTACTGCCTCTGTGCTAACCCGCATTCCCCTGTTACAAGGAGCATTAGTAGGATGGCCTTCCTCAGCTGGGAGGGTGGACAGCTCCTAACAGCAGTCTGACACATGCCGCCTTTCCCTCCCTTGTTTTAGCCACTGCTCCTTTGTCATAGAAGCATTGAAGTCTTTGCCATCAGGTGAGGAGAGCCGGGACCACCAGGCCCGATGCATATGGTTTCTGGACACCCTCATCAAATTCCGAGCACAGAAAGTGATTAAGCGGAAAAGTAAGTCCATGATAGACATTTTATTCTAGTTATTTCAAGTCCATTAATTGTCTGTTAGACCATCCCTAATAAGAGAAGAAAATACATATTTGTCTAGATCTTTTCTTTTAACTGTGTAACAGTGCGATTCCTATTTCTGACATGCTGAGGACGTGGCAGGCTTTTCTCATCTGAAAATGAGGACAGGTTGGATTATGTGATTGTTCTGAGGTGACATTCACTACTTCTGTTTTGCATTAGGCAAAGCATAATATCCAGTCAAATCAGATGAAAATTTTAAGGGATTGTTAGACAGATGTAGGGAGAAAAATTGACCTTGCTTATGAAGTCTTGTGGCTGGTTTGTGTCAACTTACTTCTGACTGGGAGGGCAAAGTGTCAGTTCCTGCTGGTGACCTGTGTCGCCTATAGCTAAGGCCATGGGTGGCTGGCTGCCACAATTATATCCACCCAGAGTTGGAAACCCAGCAGGAGACACCTGTGACTTTAGGTACAAGGTTTATGCAGTCTTGTTACTGTGGTCCAGAACCCAAGAGTCTATGTTTTTCAGTATTTGCTTAATTCTTAATTTCGCATTCTGGTGTCCCCTCCTTTTCCTCTCCCTGGGCTTTCCTGACAGTCTCTTTTGCTTTCTAACATCTTTGTGTCTTTAGACCTCATCAGTCTTATTTTTCTTGTCTCTGCCCCGTCACAAATGTCCCCTGCGTGTGTGGTCTGCAGGCTGAAGCACACCTGCGCACATGTTCATTTGATAGTGGCTGTTCTTTTCCATGGGCCCCTGCTTCTCCCAGCTCCTGAATAAGTTGTGGTCAGAGGGTATTAGAAGAAAATGATCAACTCTGCTTTGTATTGTAGGTGCCCTGGGGCCTGGAATCCCACATGTCATCAACATGAAACTGCTGAAGCATTTTACTTGCTTGGCCTACAACAATGGAAGGTCAGAGGGGTGACTTCTGGGGCTTCTGCCTGTAAAGGAGAGAGCAGGTTGGGGAGGGTGGTGAGAGTGAGGAGAAGGGGCTTGGATTGAATTTCATGTCCACAGAGACATTGTGTTGAAGAGAGCACTGCCATTGGAGGGGTTCTGGGATCAAGAAAGTTTAGGAAACACTCTGTGTTCCGTACTCTATCCCCCTTGGAGAAGTTGATGTTAAAGGCTCTGGGAAGCCCCTGTCACAAAGGCTTATTCTGCTTCATACACTTCTTCTGAGGAATGCTTGCTGATGTCCATACCAGTTCTGTGGAAAGGCAGGGTTTCAGAAAAAGGGCAGCTCAGTGTGATGACTTTGGGGAAAGAATCCCAAGCAAAGCACCTGCCATTAGCTTGGAATGTATTTTCTGCTCTGAGTGTCCTTGGAAGAATGGTCAGCAACTGAGTTTGGGATGGGTGTTTTCCTGGCAGTCCTGCCAAGCGAAAGGACAGGCCAATGCGAGGCTCAAATGGTGCTCAGGGGAAGTGCAGGGGCAGTTTTCCATCCCCCTGAGGGAGTACTGGGATTGCCTCACTGTCCCACTGTGTGTGAAGGCTCGGGCACCTTGACAGGACAAGGAAAGACATTGAGTGCCTATGGGAAGAGGCTTGGATGTCTTTATTCTGCTTTTGGAGAAATCATCTTAGAGTTTAATGTGTCCCTTTACTGCCACCGATTGCAGTTTACGGAACTTAATTTCGGATTCTATGAAGGCGAAGATTGCTGCGTATGTGATAATACTTGCCTTGCATATAAACGACTTCCAGATCGACCTGACGTTGTTACAGAGGGACCTGAAACTCAGTGAGAAAAGGTGAGCATAGCAGAACAAAAAGCTCCCTAGAGGGTGCTGTGATGTATTTCTAGTACTAGTGGAAAATGTGAGGCACCACCATCAAGGGAACTGGGGATGTTCCAGAAAGACTTGGAACCAGAGGACAGTTGTCAGTGAGTGAATGGCTTGACGCGGTCCAGCCGCGCCAAGTCGAGCAGGTCCTGAAGTGCGGAAGGGGGGCGAAGAAAACAAAGACAGAAAGATCTGGGAGGGCTGACGCTCCTGTGCGTCGCCAGCAATGTTTTATTAGAGTCCAGAGTATTTATATAGCAAAGAAGCACACTATCCCAGGAAATAGCATTATCCAATAGACAATCAAGCACAGTATTGACATCAGCGGTAGCCGGGCAAAGGTAGGCTCCTTCAGTTGCTCATGGAATGCGTTAACAGGATGTTCTTTGTTCTCCATTCCCGCCACATCAGCAAGTGGGGGAAAGGGCATAGCCCGCTCCCCACATCTCCCCTTTTTATTTTATAATATGAAGACAGTGCCTGTCTTAGGTGCCCCAAGGCAGCAACTCTGATCTTACCCGTCATTGATACTCCCACTCCAATGTGGAAGCCCTGTCTTAAGTTGCCAGAGGCTCCAGGGTGCTTACCCCATCATTGGTTATCCTGTCTTTCTTCGATAGTACCATACAGGGGGTGTTGTTTCAGGTGAAACATATGAATTTCCGAACCCAGCTTTAAGAGGGATTTTAACCCAAGCTTGATAACCCAAGGTATCAATAATATCATTATAAGAAGACATAGCAGAGCAGTCGCAATGGATAACAGAAAATGGGGCAAGTCTCCCAACTTGCCGAAAGGAGAGGCTGCGTGTTTGAGGGTGTCCAGGATATCTTGAGCGGTTTTTAACAGGATCAAACCACAGTTCTGCATTTTGCATATCAAGTATTTCCTTATGTAGGTCTAGAAAATCTTTGGTGAAATTATCAGTAAGCCATATGCCCTGTAGGTGATTCTTCACCATTTCCCAACTATACTTAGATTGATTATACTCTTAGATGTGACACAAATTTCATTATAAGCTGCATGACATTTCAATTGGTGCCTTAACTTTAGGCCCTGAACCTCTTTGCCCAAATACATGACCATGTCATACAGGGCATTAAGCTTATGACTTGTTTTCTCATCAGTATTTCCTTGATCATTAAGAGCCTGAGTTGCATTTTGGGTCAAACCATTGACATAGATTGCAGTTTGTACATTCTCAGTTAATGCTACAGCTGCTACAGTAGAAGATACAATAAAGGAAATTAAAGATAACAACCCTACAATAATGAGGCCCACAGCTCTCTTGGGACAGTCTAGAGCTTTCTTCAATTCTATCAACACTTACAGGCCCTTATCATCATACCAAGGTCCTGTGTGGTTCACGGGAATCAAAAGGAAAGGGGGTTGCTTAAGTAAAAGAACCATGGTATTGTTGGACACAGAAGAGATGCAGCTAGTGAGACTGCTATTTTTACAGGCAATATGAAACATATCTTTCTGATAAGTCATATTAATAGAAATAGACCCTACCAACAGCGCATGGAGGGGGCAACGCAAGCCGCCACATGTGTGTCATTGTTCACATTAATGCTTGTACTATTATCCCAATCTAACCCTCCCATAGCCACCCCTATTTTCCACCAAGAGGTTTGAGGGTACCCATCTGGAGTGTACCTAAGTCCCATAGAGAGTCCTCTGTATTGCGGGGCTGACGTCTTTGAATTTGGTCCTAAAGACCAGTCCACAATGTAAAGTTCTTTAGTGATGTTCATCTGCTGTGGCCATTCACCACCTGCACCCGCAAGCGAAGGGGAGCCCTTGCACTTTGTCCAGGGTAGTGGCAATGTGTCATTTTTAAGTGAAGATGAAGATGTAAGCATACTGCACACAGGGTGGTCAGAAGGCAAGGTGCCATTGCTCCTATTGCTAGGTGTTCCGATGGGCCTCCCAAAATGTCAGAATCATTGGAGTAAATCTGTACCTCGGGAGACTTCCAACTGACTGGATGGAGCAGAGGAGGGTCAGGAACATACACCCAATATATGCGCTGAACTGCTTGCTCCGCTACTTGCACTTCAGCTGGGGTCCTCCAAAGCTGGAGCAGGATCAGGAGGAATATGGTCTGCATGACGCACCAGCCTTTCTGGCAACCACCTTGGGCCCTCAGCATCCTGTTGAAAGACACAAACGTGTCCTCGCCCCCAAAGAAGGATGGGATCTGGACCTTGCCACGCCCCGGTCAGAGGATCTTTCCATCGCACCTGTGTGAGGGGTGGATGACCGCCAGAGCACCAAAAGCGCTCTGCGGAACTGCATCCTGCAAGGTCTAATGTTAAAAAATTTAAAATATTGAGTGCATGGGATAAATAATTCAAAGATGTAACGGGGTATAACTCCCCCTTCTTAATTTTATTGAGCTGGGCTTTCAAAGTGCCATGGGCTCTTTCAACAATGCCTTGGCCCTGGGGATTATAGGGGATGCCTGTCTTGTGGGCAATACCCCATTGCGCACAAAATGTGTGAAAGTGGCTACTGGTATAGCCAGATCCATTGTCCGTTTTAATCAGCTTGGGAATGCCCATAACAGCAAAGCAAGAGAGGCAATGGCGAATAACTTGTGAAGTGGATTCTCCAGAGAGAGCGGTAGCATGCAAGAAACCTGAATAGGTGTCAATGGTAACATGAACATATTATAATTTTCCAAATTCAGGGATGTGTGTGACATCCATCTGCCACAGGTGATTTGGCAGGCACTGTTGGCGTTCTCATAGGCCAACTGTGTGACTAGGGTGGTACTAAACTCTGATTCTCCAAATGTTCTCCCTGCTGTCTTTAATAGGTGAGCTACAAATTCTTGAAATGGCTCATCAGGCCCTTGCCTGATTTTAGAGACCTCCTCTGTTCTACTAGTACTTCCTGGGAGAGCCTTCCATGCTCTTTTAGCTGCCACATTTGTTTGAGCATATACTGTTAACTGAAAGACCAACTGTTGATCTACCTCAGCATATTGGCCCTCTCCTGCCAACATGTCAAAAACAATGGGTATTTGCTGAGCAGCGTTAGTCCTAGCTGTTTTCTGACAATTCTCATAAAATTCTGATTTCCATAGCAGATAATCTTCCCCTGTAAGACATGCATGTGCTAAGGACTTCCAGTCTCCCGTGGGCAATGCCTCTGTAGTCATAGCTTCTAAGATGTTTAATGTAAACGGAGCAGTGGGGCCATATTTATTGCAGGCCTCTTTCAGCTCTTTCAACTGTTTGAAAGGAAATGGCACATGTTGTCTGAATACCTCTCCGTTGTCACCTGGCTGTTCTAACACTGGATAGGCAGAAAATTCTTGTGTGTCCTCTCCCTGATCTTGAGCTTCTTGTAGTACTGCCTCAAGAGGAGTAACCTTTCTCTGTCTCTTCTGCATATTAACTGGGAGCACATGAGGCTTTTCTTCCTTAGACTCTATGGGCTGTTTTTCTTTCTGTTCTAAACCCTTCTCTGTCTTTTGCTCCACTGTTTTCTCTTTAGTTTGTTCTGAGGATATAGGCTGAACAGGATCAAAACCTGCCCTTTCAAGGGGAGCTGTTTCAGCCTTACTCACAGGGGAGTCTCTTCTCTCGGGGTGTGGCTGTCCCATCTTTTGCTGCGCTTCTAAGGCTAAAGTAAGCCGCTTCAGGGTGCCCTGAATTTTATTCCACCGCTCTTTGAAAGGTATTCCGGATGGGTCTGCGGCGACTGTCCGCGTTACTGTGAGCAGGGATGGATAAACTTTCTTGCTAGAGCCTATGGAGGCTACCTCTATTGTTTGTATCTCCTTATAACAAAGTTGAACTAAAGCTTCCTCCACTAGAGGGCTCTGTTCCTCCTCCATCCCCTTGTCTGAGCCGCTGTCCGGTTCGTGATAAGATGGCTCCCGCCCTTCCGGCGCTTCTAATGGCGGAGCAGATGGGGAGATAGCTGGAGAAGCAAGATTGCTTTCATTTTCCTTAGTGGCTTGACCCGTACCAAGGGCATGCTCTGTCACATTTTCTATCTTAAATCCTTCATGCCTAAGATCTAAAGAATCTCTAATCAAGGTCCACAGTCCAAAAGTATCTACTGGAACCTTCTTTGGTCCCTGGGCAGAATAATAAGTTTGTAATCCCTCTCCTACCTTATTCCATAAATCTATGTCTACTGTCCCTTCTCCTGGAAACCACGGGCAGAATTCCTTAATAAAGTCTAAAAATCTTTCTAATTGGGGCTTCCCTACTATAATTCCCCTAATAGCCAATAATTTCTTCAGCCTGCAGCCATAAATGTGTTTGCTTCCTGCCTGTCCCATATTGGACTCCCAGAAAAATCACTTACCACATCCACATTGCTTGCGTGCCTCTTCTCTCGCGCATCTTCTTTAGTTACTCTGGCCAGGGCTTTCTCTTCTCAACGTGGTGGCCCTCACCTTCTCCCTCTCCTTCAGGTCCCTGTTCGGGCGCCACATGACGCGGTCCAGCCGCGCTAAGTCGAGCAGGTCCTGAAGTGCGGAAGGGGGGCGAAGAAAACAAAGGGGGGAGAAAGAACTGGGAGGGCTGATGCTCCTGCGCGTTGCCAGCAAAGCTTTATTAGAGTCCAGAGTATTTATACAGCAAAGAAGCACACTATCCCAGGAAATAGCATTATCCAATAGACAATCAAGCACAGTATTGACATCAGCGGTAGCCAGGCAAAGGTAGGCACAGCAGGGCTCCTTCAGTTGCTCATGGAATGCGTAAACAGGATGTTCTTTGTTCTCCATTCCCGCCACATCAGCAAGTGGGGGAAAGGGCATAGCCCACTCCCCACAATGGCTGAGCAGCAGACATTATGGAGCGGCTTGTTTATGTTAAGCGCAGTATTTAATCTCACAGCATCTTGGTGATTTCCCTAAAACTCATTAAAGGATATTTAGTTCAGAGAAGTCAGTGATGATCCAAGCTCACACAAGCGAGGGGAAGAGTTAGGCATCAAACCTGCACCTTCCCACAGTATTCTGACCTGGTGTAACTGAGCAACCTGTAGTCTCCAAATTGCTGTTGCTGGGAAGAGGGATTCTGTGTGGTTCTCAGGGATGAAAGCAGTAAGAGAACACAATTTCAGCTTAGCAAAAACATACTTTATCAGAGTCACATGGAGGGGACTGTCAGGGGAGGTGTTCAAGGCAAGGCAGGGCTACTGTTTGGCAGGGCGGTCTTATCTGGGCTTCTCTGACCAGATTGGGAGAGTTGGTAGGGATGACCTTTAAGGCTCTCTAGCCTTGCTCAGAGGGACTCAGACTAGTAGGGGCAGAACCTCTCAGGATCCAGGACTGGGGGGTGTGTTGGCTCTTGTTGGTGATTCAAGGGCATCTGACACCCAAGGACCTGATGTGTTACAAGAAAGCCTGTGAAAAACACCATTGTGTGGACTCATGTAGCAGTCCATGAGGCCGTCCATGGATGGCAGTCTCAAAGGCAGTGAGGTTGCAAAAAGAGAGAAACAGATACATGTAGCCTGTAAAATTCTAGCAAGTGCTTGCTCCTGTTTATAGGAAGTAAAGTTATTAATAGGGTCTAGGTAACCTGGTTTTCCATTACATTTATGAATATTTCTTAATAGCAGTATGTAAAGATGACATTGTCTTCCTAATGACTCTGGTGGGGATCTGGTCTGCCTCTCTACTGAGGGATTTGCTCCTGGTGGCTGCTTCAGGGACTCTGTCTTTGTGGCCTGGAGCACGAATGTGCTGGTTCCTCCTGCCAAGCCTCCCTGAGCAGTCACACTGAGACTGTTGTTTTGTGTACTTGTTCCTTAGGATGATTGAGATAGCAAAAGCCATGAGGCTGAAGATCTCTAAAAGAAAGGTGTCTCTAGCAGCCGCTGGGGAGGAGGATCACAAATTGGGCACTCTGTCCATCCCACTGCCTCCAGCCCAGACCTGGGACCGCCCATCAAAGAGGAAGAAAATCACCTAGAGGTGCGCTTTCCAGACAGCTCATTTTGACCACATCATAGCCACTGCTTCTATTCATTTCCATTTTTACTTTTAAAATGAGAGGGGTAAAAAGACTTGCTTTGGCATGGGTATGAAGCCAGAAGCCAGGATCTCAGTCCTGCTTATAAGCAGAAATGTGAAGTGATAGCCATATTGAACTTTATCTCTCTCCTTTGGTGTTGCTGTGATTTTAAATGGAAGATGGTTCACATGTACCATGTGGGAGGGTGGGGCCTGGGGAAGTTGAGTCAGAAGATCTAGTCAAACACTGGGTCAAATCTAATGGACAAAGGTTAATAAGGAGAAATGTCAAGTGCCATGTTTAGGTCTGGAAGGACCAGTGGAGTACATGGAAAGAGGGAGGGTACAGCCCAGTAGGGCTGGAGGAGGAGGGTTCAGGCTTTATCAGTAGCTGACTGGGATCACTGGCGTGATGGCATCACCAGAAGAGGCCAGGCTGTTTGAGGCTGCTGAAACGGGAGCCCAGTCAGAGGAAGTGATTAACCAGCCCAGTTGCTTTGTCTTGCTCAAGTTCCATAGAAGGCAGGGGTCAGCTCTGAAAGACAGCAACCTCTGTCCTACTGGGGAAGCAACTAGTCTTCACTCACACAAAAGGGGATGATATTGATAGGGCAGAAAGTCCAGGATGGCAAAGAAATACCTATCCTGGTGACAATGGGTATACCTCACTAGATGTAGGTGATGCCTTCCCAGAGACTGACTGAAAAGCAAGTTTCTGTACAGCAAGGGCTTTGTGGGTCAAAAGAGGGCCCTTGTTCAATTTGAACATGTCTTGAGTGCCTAACACTGTGCCTGACATAAAGACAGTCAGTGTCTGGTGACCGAGTCAGTGTGTGAACCACACCTTCTTTGCTTGGCAGGCCTGTTCTCAGTTAATGCTTGCAGAATAAGGGAATTGCAAGGTTTTTTCCTAGCTCTAAAAAACTTTCTTTACTAATACATTCACAGAGGATAACGTCATCCCACAAATTTTCTGCTGTAATGTCTCCTGAGGTTCTCTTTGAAGAGAGGGGGACTGTGGGCTGGACACTCATATCCTTAGGAAGATTTGCAGTTTGTGGAATAATTTTAACTTACAGGTATTGATTAACAGAATGAAATCTGTTCCCTGGAGGGAAGTCTCTGCCTGTGGCCCTGGTCTATGGCCACAGTTAACAGTGAAGGGTCAAAAAACTATATTTAACACACTTGCAGGGGACCCCATCCTGGAAGTAGCTAATTAGATAAAGTTTTTTAAGGGTCTTCTTTTAAAAACTTTGGTTTGATACAATGTCATACTTAAAAACAATTGCAATGGTACCAGGAACCATATAATCTCCAACTGTTAATGTGTTGTCCTGTTAATTGTTGCTTATATATTTACATATTCCTGTGAAACATTTGAGAGAAGTTTCTTACCCTTTGATGGGTAAGTACTTGAGTGTGTAGGCCTTGTGAGTAAGAGCTCTCTCTTCCATACCATAGTACATTTACCAAAAGCAGAAAATAAAACAGTGATACCGTGCTATCATTTAGCCCACAATTCATACTCAGTTTTGTCCATCACACCTCTGGTCTTGTTTAATTGAAAACCATTGACTTTCTCAACCTTGACTTTTCGAGTAAGGTTGATTATTTTGTAGGGTGTCCCTCAGTTTGGGTTTGTCTCATGTTTCCTTATGATTAGATTGAGGATATACATTTTTTGGCAGGAGTATCACGGATACCGTGTCCCAAGTGTATCGCAGTAGAAGCACCTGGTACTGGTTTGTTCTGTTCTTGCTGCTGACTTATTACCTGGCTAAGGTTGTGTTCTCTCCACTTGAAGTTACTATTTTCCTTTTTGTAATTAATAGGTAAATTTGTGTAGGGATACTTTGAGGCTAAATATCCTGTTCCTCATCAAACTTTCATCCATGAGTTTTACCCTCAATTGATGATACTTGATGAATCAGTTACCAGCATGGTTGCAAAATGGTGATTTTTCTAACTCCGTCATTTCTTATACAATTATTATTGGCATTCTAATAAAAGAGGGGTCTTCTTTTCTCTCCTATTAACATTTTTTTAATTTAGTTGTCATTATGGACTCAGTTTTGTTTTTGTTTTTTTGAAGTATAGTTGATAAATACAGAATTATATTGGTTTAAGGCATGTGGCTTTCAAGAGTACAACATAGTGATGACAATTATATACATTACTAAATGTTCATAAGTGTAGTTACCATCTCTCACCAAAGTTATTACAGTATTATTGACTATATTCCGTATGCTGTACATTTCATCTCACCTTACTTCATAATTGGAAGTCTGTACCTCTTTACCCCTGCCATCTGTTAGGCTCATCCCCCCACCCCACTATGGCAGCCACCAGTTCACTGTCTACTTACAAGTCCACTTCTGTTCTGCCTTTTTTTGTTCATTTTTTCAGATTCCATATATAAGTGAAATCATAGGTAATTGTATCATTTCACTTTCTCTAAGTCCACCTATGTTGTTGTAAGTGACAAGATTTCTTTCTTTTTTATGGCTGATAGCCCACTGTATATATGTAGCACATCTTTATCCATTCATCTGTCTGCGGACACTTAGGTTGCTTCCATATTTTGGCTTTTGTAAATAATGTGGCAGTAGACATAGGAGCACATACATCTTTTTGAATTAGTGATTTTGTTTTCTTTGGGTAAATCCCAGAAGCAGAATTACTGGGTCATATGCTGTTTCTATTTTAGTTTTCGAGAAACTTCCATACTGTTTTCCATAATGTCCTCACTGATTTATATTTCCATGAACAGTGTACCAGGGTTCCCTTTTCTCCAAATTCTCGCTTTATTTCTTGTCTTTTGGATAGTGGCCATTCTAACTAGTGTGAGGTGATATCTCATTGCGGTTTTGATTGGCATTTTCATGAGAGTGATCTTGACCATCTGTATGTCTTTGGGAAAATGTCTATTCAGGTTCCCTGCCCACTTTTTAATTGGATTCTTTGTTTTTTTTTGGTATTGAGTTTGAGTTCTTTATATATTTTAGATATTAACCCCTTGTCAGATACATCATTTGCAAATATCTTAGCCCATTCAGTAGGTTACTTTTTCATTTTGTTGATGATTTCCTTCACTGTGTAGAAGCTTTTTAGTTTGATAAAGTCTCATTTGTTTATTTTTGCTTTTGTTTCCCTTGCCTAGGGAGATACAACCAGGAAAAAATTACTAATGTTGATATCCAGCAGCTTACTGCCTTTGATTTTGTTTAGGAGTTTTATGGTTTTGGGTCTTTATGTCTTTAATCCATTTTGAATTTATTTTTGTGTGTGGTGTAAGGCAGTGATCCAGTTTCATTGTTTGGCATTTTGTTGTCCAGTTTTCCCAACACTTTTTATAGAAGAGACTATCCTTTCTCCATTGTAATTTGTCCTTTTGTCATATATTAATATTTTGGTAAATTGTAAATGAGTTTATTTCTGGGTTCTCTATTGTGTCTCATTGATCTGGTTGTCAATTTTTGTGCCAGTACCATACTGTTTTGGTAACTATAGCTTTGTAGTATAGTTTCGTATCAGGAAGCGTGATGACCTCCAGCTTTGTTCTTTTTTGGTACTGTTTTGACTCTTTGAGGTCTGATGTGGTCCCATACAAATTTTAGGATTATTTTTGCTCTAGTTCTGTGAAAAATGCCATTGGTATTTTGATAGGAATTGCATTGAATCTGTGATTGCTTTGGGTAGTATGACTTAATATTTTTCCAATCCATGCAAGCTCCTAACATTTAATTGTGAACTTTCACCTCCTGGGCCTTAACAAAGATCACCACTCAGAGTCTCAGTTCCTTCTGTAAAAACCGGGGCAAGATCTCAGCAAATTAGTGTTTAGCATACTGTTGATGGAACGCAAAATGACCTCAGTGGCATGGGGATGCAGCCAATGAAGTTATGTTAGCTGGGCTAAACTGTAGTAACACATTGCCCCCAAATGTCTGGTTTCAACACAGGTTTTATTTGTGGATTGTGAATATTTTCATTTTAATAGTTTATTCTAGTAGTATTAGAAAATCCTAGCTTTGCTTTGTAGTAGTGACATAAACCTTTTTTTTTTTTTTAGTTCAGCAAAGTTAAGTGTCTTGGGTAGGATCCTGGAATGGAAAAAGGACATTAGGTAAAAACTAAGGAAAGCTGAATAAACTATGGACATTAGTTAATAATGTGTCAATATTGGCTTCGTAGTTTTGACAAACATACCAGATTAATGTGATGTAAGTAATAGGTAGTACAGAGTTCCCATAATGCTCGCTACCCAAATTTCCCTATGTTTGTTTCCACTTTTGCTGTAAATCTAAAAAAAATTAAAATGAAAAAAAGATTCAAAAAGAAATATCAAGTACTAACTTTCTCCTTAGGTAAATGTGGATATGGCAAAAACTCTGATGTTGAGTGACTGTAGTTGGAAAAATGTGCTCATGGATCTGATAAACCTTTGCAGACTGTTGAGCCATCCAAACCAGGGACAATGACTGTTATTCTTCACAAAGTTCTTGGGGCAGGCAGGACTACAGGATGGTCCTTAGAACCTGGGACCGCAGAGGGAACAGGGTAAATGGAGAAGCTGTCCATTCTCCTACAGTGGAAGCACTGGTGCCTTGGGAAGGTGGAGCAGGCCAGGTCTGCGTTCAGCCACCCAGAACTCCAGCAAATACCCAGACCAAGGAAAGTCTCCCAAAAGGGCCTTTTTTAAAATATAGAACTTTATTTTGTTTGCTGAGATTTTCACAGGAAAGTCATTTCTTACCAAAAAAAAAAAAGGCATTTTGTACAGCGACTCACATTGGGGCCACCACCAGAGAAGTGCAAAGGACAGTGCTCGTGCCCACAGTCCTCAGGGAGAAGCCAGTGTTCCTGGCTCCCTCCAGCCCCTTCCTACCCCAGTCCCAGACAGCAGTGCTCAGGGCCTGGCCAAACCAGCCTGGAGGCCATCACGAGGTACATGACAG